AAATAGTTGGTAAGTATTACCAATACTTAAAAATATTTTATTTTTATAACTTTTAATTTATATTTCATTTTCTTTATGCAGGTAGACTGCTTGAAGCAAATGAATTTACTTTATGTAGTATTGCTGTAATATTAATATCTACTTTTTGGTATTTGTATGCATTGAATTAATCTTATTGGACGGCTAGTTATTTATATGTTTTTGAATTGGATTATGTTAATTTGTAAAAGTTACGAAAGAAATATCATTAGTTGTATTTATATATTGTTGTTGTAAATATTAAAAAAATTAATTATGGTACGAAATCGAACCGAATCGAACCCGAGCAGTTCCATAATTATATTTGGACCGACGGCTTCATTTATTAAATACCCGAAAATTTTGAGTCGATTCGACTCTCTTCAGAATCGAATCGAATCGATCCACGGACAGCCTTACTTGAATCTACAACTTAAGTTGACTTCGTTGTGCACACTGCACACTCTTCAGTCCATTTAGCTTAAATTCCCGAAATGACCTCCACGATACTGATAATTACTATAATAACGATCTCTCCTTCTACTTCCAGTTCATAAGCACAGAACCTTCTTCAAATCCACCCACAAGACAATTTGCCTTTAAAAGAAAGAGAGTAAATTTTCGATTTTGATGTTAATTTGTTATTTTTAGTCTAAAATAAAGAGAAATGCCAATGAAGGATGAAACGACGCCGCCACCGAGGATCGGGAAGATCGGGCCGTATACCGTGTTCGTGACACCTCCAGCGACACCTAATTTCAGCCCAGAACTGAATTCTCCAAATAAAATCGCCGCAGTTCCCGTTCCGGACCGTACACCCGTTGGAACACCACCGGTTCAGGCTCCGCCGCCGCAGTTTGATAAAGAGAAGTCTTCTTCTTTCGGCTTCCTCTGGGACGCCGTTGTCAAGGTTCAACATGGTATACTATTTCATTTCGTCCTTTTTTATTTTCCTTTTTCACACACACACACACACACATACATATATATATATATATATAGATTACTTTTTTGAAATGCTGAAGATTTGTAATTATGGTTGTCTGAAATTATTATTTTGGTGAAATTGTGTATATTCGTGTGAATTGTATATGAATTCATGTGAATTTGGAAATCGTAAAGTGATAAATTTCCAACATTTCTTTAGCAAAAACTGGGAAGAGGAGGGAGGAAGGTTTGCTCAAATGCAAGAATCCTCATTTTTCTATACTGAAGTTTCGTCAGAACGTCTAGTCCAGCCAAAACGGACATGTAGACTAGCCATTAAAGAAGCTTAAATATACTTTTGGTATAATTATTTGATTTTAGTTTTTCTCTGCCTAATTATTTGTAGCGCATGCGAGTTTGGATGAGCAAGTAGCGCGTTGGTTTGGCTTGAATCGGTCCAAGTATCAGTGGGCACTGGATGATTATGATATTTGTATGTGTTGAATTAATTTTTTGGACAGCTAGTTATTTATATGTTTTTGAATTGGATTACGTTAATTTGTAAAAGTTACGAAAGAAATATCATTAGTTGTATTTATATAGTATTGTTGTAATATTAAAAAAATTAATTATGGTACGAAATCGAACCGAATCGAACCCGAACGGTTCCATAATTATATTTGGACCGACGGCTCCATTTATTAAATACCCGAAAGTTTTGAATCGATTCGGCTCTCTTCATAATCGAACCGAATCGATCCACAGACAGCCCTACTTAAATCTACAACTTAAGTTGACTTCGTTGTGCACACTGCACACTCTTCAGTCCATTTAGCTTAAATTCCCGAAATGACCTCCACGAAACTGATAATTACTATAATAACGATCTCTCCTACTTCCAGTTCATAAGCACAGAACCTTCTTCAAATCCACCCACAAGACAATTTGCCTTTAAAAGAAAGAGAGTAAATTTTCGATTTTAATGTTAATTTGTTATTTTTAGTCTAAAATAAAGAGAAATGCCAATGAAGGATGAAACGACGCCGCCACCGAGGATCGGGAAGATCGGGCCGTATACTGTGTTCGTGACACCTCCAGCGACACCTAATTTCAGCCCAGAATTGAATTCTCCAAATAAAATCGCCCCAGTTCCCGTTCCGGACCGTACACCCGTTGGAACACCACCGGTTCAGGCTCCGCCACCGCAGTTTGATAAAGAGAAGTCTTCTTCTTTTGGCTTCCTCTGGGACGCCGTTGTCAAGGTTCAACATGGTATACTATTTCATTTCGTCCTTCTTTATTTTCCTTTTTCACACACACACACACACACACACATATTACTTTTTTGAAATGCTGAAGATTTGTAATTATGGTTGTCTGAAATTATTATTTTGGTGAAATTGTGTATATTCGTGTGAATTTGGAAATCGTAAAGTGATAAATTTCCAACATTTCTTTAGCAAAAACTGGGAAGAGGAGGGAGGAAGGCTTGCTCAAATGCAAGAATCCTCATTTTTCTATACTGAAGTTTCGTCAGAACGTCTAGTCCAGCCAAAACGGACATGTAGACTAGCCATTAAAGAAGCTTAAATATACTTTTGGTATAACTATTTGATTTTAGTTTTTCTCTGCCTAATTATTTGTAGCGCATGCGAGTTTGGATGAGCAAGTAGCGCGTTGGTTTGGCTTGAATCAGTCGAAGTATCAGTGGGCACTGGATGATTACTATGCAACCAATGGAAAGGTGAGAATTTTTTGCTTTATTTCTTTGATATGATTATCTGCCTGGAAAATCATGTGCATTGTTTCCGGCTTCTTGCATTTATTTGGTAAAATTCTTGCCTGTTGATAATAATTTTATTTGGATATTTCTAGCCAATTCTGCTCATTTCTGTGTGCCGGTTCCAAATTTTTTCTGCAAGAAGCGTGTGCCTTTGTAGTTGTAGGTGGGGTAATTTTGCAGGTGATTTCTTAATTTAACATGTCCATGGTTCAATAGTTCAGTAGCTTATAAGCATTTTATTCTGGATCTTACCTCTCAACTAATGATTCTTGAACGCTACTCTTTACCATTATACTCATAGAGACACTGAAGCGATAATTATACATCTTGTCCTCAAATCTCATTGGGAAGCATTTATCTGCAATTAAGACAATCATCTTTGACTTGTGTTTGAGATCAAATTTAGATTTTATGATGTTCAAGTTTTTCTTCAAGGACCATATCTTTACTTAAAGCTAAAATCTTCAAGAGAAGTTCAATTTTAAAAGTCCATTTTGCAAAGCAACAATTGGTGGTTTCTGAATTAAGTTCCTACTACAAAGAGGGGACAACACTCCCAAAGCACTTATAAAAGTATGCTAAAGTGTATCTTGCACTTCTTTATGAAAGGTCCATTTTTGAGATGCACTTTATAGTTCCTTTGCATGTGCCTTGTAGGCTTGTAGCTTTTCCTACAAAATGAACTTCAAACTATTACTTTTGTTGAATTTCATTCGTGGAGACTAGCAAACGCTGAAGATTTATGACTACAGATTGGTCTAGAAATCCATTTGCTTAGGTTAAAAAATGCACATTTATAGGGAATCAACTATTGATTGAGATAGTGGCAGCGTAACTTAAAAATTGTGCTTATAAGCTACAATATATTCATCACTCCTTACTCTTCTGAGTAAAGGTGTTGATTTTTGCCTGGTTCCTCGTATTCCGAGCTAGCATGCAAAATAACAAAATAAAATTGGGAGGCAATTTGTCGGTGTGATTGGCATAGTTGTCAGACCCGACCCGAACACTGACTCGGACAATGCAGCGGGTCAGTGGTTCAACCGGTGACCCGGTGGTTGGACTGGCGGGTCAATTCTTGTAAAATATATTATTATCTATTTATTGAATATAGTGGTTCGACCGGTGACCCAGTGGTTCGACCGGCGGGTCAATTCTTCTTAAATATATTATTATCTATTTATTGAATAATAAAATTTTTACTTTTTCTAATACTAACTAAATTAACTTTATGTAATTTAGGTGACTAAAGATCAATTTTTATGTCAAAATTCTTTTCACCACTTTCCAGTAACAGAATGTGTTAGGCTTATTTGATTCACCAAAAGTGAAACCAAACTATAAATTAACTATAGGAGGAATAAATAAAATTAGTAAATTACATATTTGATTCACCAAAAGTGGAACCAAACTTGCTAATTTGCAAGTTCATTGTCAACAACAAACATTGCGCATTCATGGAAAATTTTCCATCTTGGCAGTCGGAAATTGAAAACAATAATCAATGAATCGATTCCATATTCACCCATAAAATTACATTTAAAACAGTTATTGTATATAGTAGACAACATATAGACAAGAATAACACGAAATTATGGTAAAAATATTCAAAACTTCAGCCATCTTGAGAAATATTTTTGACATACTGTAATCGCACAAAAAAGTGCAAATCACAAAAAAAACCACAAGTTTGGGACTTACATCTTCTTCTTCCATCTAATAAAACTTGAAATTAGAGCTTTGGATTCTTGCGAGTTGAATTGCAAGCGACAGATGAGGGAATCCTGGGGTTCTACGGCATCGAATTCGACTGAGAGAGAGAATGGGTTTTTTAGGGTTTTTATATGGACAGGCGGGTTAAATGAATTTGGGCCAACGGTTTAACGCAAGACCCGGGGGTTCAGTTGGGTTTTTTCGGGTTGACTGCTTAGTTAAAAAACTAGGCTGCTCAGACCAGACCATGGTCCGGTTCGACGGGTTCCGGATCGAACCGGCTGGTCCAGTCCAGGTTTAATAACACTGGTGGTTGGAGCACCATACTTGGCCCACCCCACCCCTTGGATATTTTTTCTGCGTTGATAAAAGAGGGGTGGTAGAGACAAGATAAAGTTATTACAAATAAGAAAATGAAGTTTTGGAAATAAGGCAAATCCATTTTGTGAAAAGAATCGCAACTTCACAAGGTATTTTTGTTGTTCGATGTTAGTGAAATGTCAATCTGTAATTCTTGCCCGATAGAAGAACATATATTGATGTTGTCTATTGATTTCTTCTTTGTTATGAGCAATCTACTCTGTGAGGTTGTTGTTACTAATATTACCTGATTAAACTATGGACTTAAATATGGAACCAAGGGAGTATCAAAATTTAGAATTTCACGAGATCTTATTTCTACCTTACCTAATTATTCTTCATGTGGTTAATCTAATTTTATAGGTGTGTTTATGTAGATTTGTATATCATGTATCCCCACCCCTTGCTCATTCCCAAGCAACTAATGTCTTTGTTTGAGCCAACATTTATCTAGGTGTTAACTATGTGAAAGTTTAAACCTTGTGGCCTCAGATGGTTTACAAGTTATGTTTTTTATTAAGTATTTAAAAGTAAATAAATCTGTAAGAAGGTCAGTGGAAGATTCTGTCAAAAAGTGAAAGTCAGGAAAGTTCTTGATGTTTTGAAATAGCTAAAATTGGAGATGAAGAAGTTGAATGAGGAACGAGATTCTGTTTGTATGTCTCTGTACATTTGTGTATATATGCAAATGAATTGAGATTCTGATATTTCTGCGTGGAAATAATTGTGTATGTGCGTCGTCCACTCCTAATCTGGTCTAACACATCTATTATGACATGTTTTAACTGCAGGATCAAGCAGTTTCAAAAGCCACAAGGTAAACCCGGAAAATACGGAACGAAATGTGTAACATTATTGAGCAGGTAAGATATTCTCATTCTTTGTTTAGGGCGATTTTTTTCTTGAACATTTTTTAGCTTTGGACATTTACCAGTTGCAGGGTTTCTCTCAAGCATGGACACCTGCAAAACCTCGATTTGGGTACTCGTTATTTTAATAACCAAATCTCTACTAATGCATAGAGTAATGTCTTCTTGAATTGTATTAGTCTTCATTTTTAGCTGTTAAAATGCTACAGCTAACATGTTATATTCAATTCTGCGAGTCCTGTAATCTTGACGTCATCTTGGTTATAGGTTTCTGTTAAATATCCTTCGCTGTTACCTTTGTATTGAACCATAAATGTTGTTCTAATTGTCTGTAATATTAATATTTAGGTTATGGCAAAATCTTGCAATTTTCCTGGAATATGAAGTAATTGATTTAGAATACAGTTTTCGTTCTTATTTTAGCTTTATTTTGGCAATTCCATAACAGAAAGAATGAAACTCAACAGCATCTGGAAAACCAATCTGATTTTATATCGAGTACCAAACCAAATGCAGCAACATACAAATTCCAAGCACGTTGCACCTCAATATTTTAGTACCACACTCCCGGTGCACATCCTCTTTGTGTAAAGAGATGAGCTATAGACGAGCCACAAAGTCGATGAAATAATAAATACATTCAGTTCCATCAAACAAAATCAGTTCCATTTTTAGTACACCAGCAAAAGAGGAGATCTTTGCCAATCATTAAGGGAAAAAACCAAAATTATGTCGAACAGTTCATTAAGAGCTAATTTGTCTCTCGCACATGCATAATGCTACTAAACACAACTCCATGGAGATTCAGTTTCACCCGACTGTCAAAGAAGGAACAAATTTACTAAAGCATTTAGCTTCTTAGAGGTTCTATTTATTTACAAACATCTTGCAACTAGAAATATCTGTACATTGATTCTTGTGTCACCAAGCAACTCTATACCGCAGGTATGTTGGCAAAAGAGAAACCTTTGTAACCCTTGTACGCGTAGTATGCAATCCGTGTATAATAAAATCCTGGAATGAACAGAATTCCTCCCAGTACAGCGAAAAATATCCCTACATTCATAACATCAGATTAAAACAGATAAATAAAGACAGGAGTGGTATGCTGATAGTAATAAGTGGTTATTAACATCAAGACAAGCAATAATATGCAGAACTCATTTTAGAGGAGCGAGCGTCGTAAAGAAGTGGATGTATGGACTCAACCTACCAGCAAGAACTTGTTGATATCAATACATCCACAACAACAAATTAAATACTGTTCCCAATATCTTTGGGGTCAAACGGCTACAGTGGATTCTTTCTCACCACTCTGTCCTCTTCATTTCTAGATCTGCTCGAAGATCTAATCAGCTAAGATGAGTGAAATGAATTGTATTACTACAAGAAATGGTCATTAAGTACCAAGCAAAGGGTAACTGTGAGGCTACATATATATTAAAAGTGTTGCATATCATTCTTCGGCATTTATAACTTGCCACAAAACTGCTTATGAGAAGTAAAGCAAAGAAGATTCAGTCCCCCTTACAACCAGGAGAAAAAGAACATGGTCGCAAATGCAGCATACTTGCAACATGGTTGCATGAAGAGTCGAAGACAAAAGGCAAGTGAAGCAGTATCATATAGATCCAATTCTTTGATAATTGTTAATATCATCAAACACAAATCCATCATCACTAGACATAATCATTATTAAAACTAACATACATTTAATATATAACTTGTACTTCTTACAGCAGATATATATTTCAAAAAATATTAGATTTATTTCTCTCTTACAGGAGGAATTAAAAAGGATGTGATGCATATGGTTAGAGCAGGTTGTATGAGAGGAAAAATTGCTTTAGGAACTCTATGATAAGAAGAGATAGTTTAAAAAGATAGTACTACAAATAGTTATTAGACCTATTATATTTTATTGCGTTGAATGTTAGGCTGCTAAAAACCAAAATATCCATAAGGCTAACATAGCAGAAAAAACGAGGAGTCTAAGATGAATGTGTGATCATACAAAAATAGCACATAACACCAAGGCCTAACTCGAATGGTAAGAGTGAAGCCTTATTAAGTGAGAAACTCAGAAAAAAAGAACAAGAGAAGTGGGAATATTTGCACTAGATGGAGGCAATAGTCGGGTCATAATTTGCATAAACCTAATTAGTCTCATGTTCACAAGAATGAAACAATCCAGTATAGTAAGTGAGTAAGGAAAGACGGAGGATTAGTCTAGACTTAACAAGTCCTATTATAGTTTCTAGGGAATTAGTTTCTTCAGATCTCCCAGTAAAACTAGAGTCAATCAAATGGAATGGCGAAGAAAAAATCATATAGTCGACTCCATATTTACGATGACAAGGCTTAGTTTGTTGTTGATGTACTTTATCTTTTGTCCATATCTATGTTTAAATTCTACCACTCAAGAAGCTCTTGAATTAATAGGAATATTAGCCTAACATGCCACATTCATTTACAATTTAGCATATCACTCAATTGAGCTACATTATACATCTACGACAAACCTTCGCATTAAGATCTGCATCTAATAAATGAGCATTGTATGCATGTTCAATAAATGAGCTAAATTTCAAGTTATTCGCATGGAACTTTTCTATATCATTTAATCTACTCTAGAAAAACTTCATATGTCATTGTAGGATTAAAAATCTAATAAATCCACCCTTGCTCATGTCTGTATGGAAAACACCTGTCTAATAATTAACAATAGTAGCATAAATTTAACTTCAAGAGTATTTATTAAAGAAAAAATAATCTGGGAACATGAATTGAAATGGGTACCCCCCCAAAATCTAATGCTTAATTAACAACTAAAGATTATTAATTTAATCCCCCTTAATATTTAAAGAACATAAACTTATAGAACGAGAAAAAAATTGAAATCTAATCAAGAAAAAGGAAGAAGGAA